AAATGGTGAGATAATCACACAGAAAATTACACCAACCAGAAATCAATAAATGCTTTATTCAGTCACAATAGACCTTAGATGCAAAAGATCACCAAGACCTCACTGGAAGCAAGAATTATAAGACTTGGTTTTGGCTCTCAAATTGTGTTCAATCTCCTATCTGTTCACTGACCTATGAAACTATGGTATTTCAAAGAATAAACACGATAACTAGAGAGAATGCAACACAATTTGATGGGCCATAAACAAGTCTTGTGACCTTTTCACTCACGAGACCTTGGCAACCATTTCTGCCAAAGGGTATTATGACGTACAGACCTTATACTAATTCAGCTGATTGCTCTAGCCTGAATATTTCAGTAGAGTTAAAATGTTCTAAAAGTTGTTTAAAGTCTTAGCTTTGATTAATTCCCCTATAAGAACATTCAATGTGTGTATGGACAACATGCTTGCAACAGGCATATATTATTGAAAAAACTGTATCGAGAATACCGGACAATAAACAATACTATATACCGATACTATGAACTTTATTCATTCTAGAAATAATACCTTTATCACATTTTATACACCAAAATAGCAACATGTTTCTTTACCATTGTAAATTATTATTATTAGGAAAGAAGCATAACAGGTGGCTTGTACCCAAGGGCTTGTAACAAAATATAAATATAAGAAATACAATGTACTAGTATTCTTCAACTGAATATTAAATGTTTTTTCCAACCAGCAACATTATTCAAATTTGATGCTTAGTAACATATAGCAGAAAATGTACGATACCAGTTACTTCAGAAAACAACACTTGATACAAAATAGTTTTCTGGTCTGGCCAGGTATGAATGCGCAAATAAAAACAGGAATACCTAAATGTTTGTTCCCCAGAAACTAGCAGTGATCCTATTGTTGTGCTCCATCTCAGGACGAACATTAGCAACAGTTTTCAATCATGGTTGCTATTAGTAAATTCTATCTCACAGGTTAAGCTTGATTCAAACATTGTCCTAAAATAGGAACTCACCCTCAACTTCTTTGAACGATGACCTCCATACTTCCAATTGCATCATTATATCACTCCACCTTTCTTTAGTACGTTTCCAGTTCTACATGGGTTGAAACAGAACTAATTTAATAAACAATACTTGGCATGTTTAAATATCCAACTTTCTCTCTTCAATGCCAAAAGTTGATAAAAAAAATTGTATTGTGGATTGATATTTCTTTGTGAAATGATATTAAGTAATAAACAGATACTGTATTGTATTTATTAGATTTAATTATCATGGACAACCAAAAACCCATGGTGT